TAGCTGTACGCCCGGAGTTTCACTTTAAACACTTGCTGCACTCAAGAATTTCTGATGCGGTCTCTCAACCCCTGAAGATGACATTGTTTTCTATAATCCAAGGCATCCTCCTAAAGCGAGCATCTTTGGGTTTCTTTTAGATGTAACAGTATAAATGAGAATCTAGTATAACCATTTTCTTGGTTAATGCTCCAGTGAAGGGAAAAAAAACATTGAATAACTATCTGTGCAGTGAACAAGATGGCGGCTCCTCTGTGTGCGCGAGTTATAGATATATTTCAGTAGCACAGAATGTAATTTGTGCAGCTCTCTTGTATGCAGCATCCAATATGAAAAGACATCAAGCAGGGTTTTCCTTTTCCTTCCCTCTTAACCATCTTCACTGTTTCTGATTTTTTTCATCACCTTTGAAAATATTAGCCTGGAAGGCCTTACTCAGTGATTCACTAGCTGCTGTACACAATAGATTATATTTTCATTATAGACTTATTCCCAATTGAGTATTGAATTGTTCATTGATTCTCTACTCGGCTATAAATGAAAGCAAGCCAGGGGAGGTTATTCAGTCTCAGGGAGAAGACATTCTGAGATAAGCACCCCAGTTTGATGCTAGAAATGAGTTGATCATCTTGCTTTGGTGGCACCCTAGGGTGCAATGGGTATAAAGCGTCTTCTAGACAAAACACAAAAGACATTAATATCGTCTGAAATGGCAGTTTACTCTTGTCTGTGTAGACCATAGCAGCCAGATTGTCGCTTTCATTCTAAACTTGCATTGATGATGGAAACTGCTTGGTTGCAGTGGCTATGTCTTGGGAAATGTCTGTCAGCTGCTTTGTTCTTCTGGGTAGGATTTTTTTTTATGGTGATAATTTTGTACTGGATAAAGATCATACAGCAAACACCAGAAGTATGCATAAAATGAAACAGAAATATAACGGGGCAGCCAAATTTATGGCACAATGATTGGTACCATGTGGAAATGTGATTTTAGTCATATTATTGCCCTTGTAGTCATATTGGTGTCCTTGTAACAGAACAATTTGGTACTTTAGAATCGCTTTAAGCAAAATGCTTACTCAAGGTTCATTTTTTTTTTTTTTTTTTTTTTAATAACATACATGTCTATACTTACCTACTGTGTGCAGTGGTTTTGTACAGAGCAGCCTGGATCCTCCTCTTCTCAGGTCCCCCGTAGGCTCTCCTGGCTCCCCGTCGGTTGGGTGCCCCCACAGCAAGCAGCTTGCTATGGGGGCACCCGCTGCTCTGTGTCTCCCCACAGCAAGCAGCTTTCTATGGGGGCACCCGCTGCTCTGTGTGTCCATTCACACATGGCCCTGCCCCCTGTCTCCTCATTGGCTGACTGGCTGTGATTGACAGCAGCAGGAGGCAATGGCTCCCACTTGCTTTCTAAGCCGGAATAGCCTAGGCTGTCATGCACGTCGCTGGATTGCAATGAGGCTCAAGTAAGTATTGAGGGGGCTGGGGGCACTGCTGCACACAGGTTTTTTTTACCTTCACACATAGAATGCATAAAGGTTAAAAACCTTCAGCCTTTACAACCACTTTAATCTGTGTACCAGTACTGCTTGGACCTAGAAGAAAGTGGTACACCCCTGAAAATATTTTTTTTCATGAATAATCAAATGTTAGTGCAGATAAAGTACTGTTCACGGCCTAAAGTGCAGTTGATGTCTTGCTCTTATGGATGATGCGTTGCTGTTTGTGGCAGGAGGTAGTTAGACCTTTGCTGCTTGCCAGCATTGCTTGGACTATATATGGTGGCGTTGCATTACTCTTCTCTCCCCAAAGCAAGTTTTATCAGTGTCCGAAACTAGGGTCCTGGTGTAATCCTAGTACAGAGCTCCTGGCTAGCTCTAGAGTTGATCCCGCTTGACACCATAGCAGTCCTCTCCAGATATCGGAAGGCAAAACTGAGTCCGTGAGGAAAAATCACTTGTAGTTATCATGTTTACAGGGTAAGATGTACCAGCAGGTGGTCCTCTGACATTAGAAACCCTGCTATAGGAAAGCTTGAGTTCCCAATCTGAATGTATAAACTATGAATACTGTAAAATCTAAGTAAAAACTTACAATTCAGATTAATATAGGCCGCCTTAGAGGATACACCTACATGCTATTGACATTCACAGCAATGGGAAAGAGTACTTGCAGTTTTCAAGATCTAAATAAATACAATGCATTCACTGAAGTTTGTTTTTTTTTTTAGTTTGTTTTTTTGCTGACACCAATTCTTGAGTTATAAACTTTTTTTAATTTCAGTTTTGTGTGATTGTTTGCTATAATTACCTTCTTTTCTCTTCTAATTTAGTCCAGTATCAGATGGAGATGATGCGCAGCCTCCGCCACGTCAACATCGACCACCTCCATGTCGGCTGGTACCAATCCACGTACTATGGCACCTTCGTCAGCCGTGCCCTCCTAGATTCCCAGTTCAGTTACCAACATGCCATAGAGGAATCTGTGGTCCTCATTTACGGTAAAGATTCCTATTTTCCTCCTGTGTATTGATATTCGGATTTTCCGTGATCTTTACTGTATTTGCCGTGTGGCCACGCTCTTTATTTTCCCTAATCGGGGTGGGGGCAGGGGGTTAAACGTCTAAAGGTAGCCTGGCAGTCCCTTTTAAGTAAATACCAACTGTACGTCTGCAGCAGGCCGAGCAGCAGCAAAGTCTAGACAGAGTTTCCTTCTCTCTGTTTTATTTTTCTTGCTATCAGAGACCTGATGTGTACGCTCTGGAATGCTGGAGAGTGGCCGCTTCATTTTTATTCATCCGTCTTCTCTCCCTTGGTGAAGGCTGGTGGAACTAGACCAGATGTCTGACAAACCTCGATTACTAGAATGTCTGGCTCTGTGATACGTGACTGACCAATCATAACGCCATTTGCCAAGTTCCCCCCCCCTTCTTCCTCCAATCTCGCTCTCTTTCTCTCTTAATACCTCTGACAGGGGCTCACAAATACTGCTCTGTTTCTTTGAACAAACATTTTTTTCCCCTCTTTTTCTGCTGGTTTAATGGTGTTTCCTCAAGCTCTCCAGACCAGATGTTCTGCTCTGTATCAGAACCATAGGCAATTTAACAGCTTTATGGTTCCCCTGTCCCCCCCCCCCCCCCCCCCCCCGTCCCCCCTCACTCTCAACGCTCTCTTCGCCATATCTGTTGGTCCTGCCTATAATTTCCAGCTGAGCAGCGAATGCTAGGTCCTGTGTATCTGTCAGAAAAAGTACTAATGAACGCAATCAATCTTGCTTGCTGCCCTCAAATTATTTCAGTATGTTAACAATTGGAATTATGTTAAAGAACAAGTTGTTAGTGTACTTAGATTGGCTGGAAAGATGACATCACAGCCTGATGAATTTTCCACTTGTCTAAGTGTCTTCTGTCTCGTTTTTGTTGTCACCTTTCTGCTTGAACGGTTGACGCGTCCAGTTATGTTCTGTAGAGAAATGGGCACATCTGAAACGCAAGACAGATCTTCTATTAACTTCACAAAGTATGAAAAATCTATTATGTGATTATATTGCGCTTTATAGCAATGTTCAAGAAAGCTTATTTTTGTGAAATAAACAGGTTTTTTAAAGCTTTGTTAGCTTTTGTTAAACTATAAACGGGCTGTCCAAACTTTTAGCGGCCTTCGATTGCCAGGTCAAACAGTGACAGTCAAAGCAAAAAAAGCATATCTGATGTATATATTTTTTATTTTTCAATGGTTTTTATTGAAAAGTTTTCAAAATACAAATAACATCAAAGACAAATACAATGATCTATAACAAATATAAGACTCAATACTTGTAGCCACATGAAGCGCCTGAAATAAACATTAAGAAAAACATGCTAAATGTTGTAGAACCAATACAAATGGGCTCACCCAACCTTGTTACACGGAGGAGTGAGAAAGACCTAATAAAGTAAGAAAAGAAAGAAGTGAAGAGAAAGAAGAAACAAAAGAAGATAGAGGGTCACTGAGGGCAGGATCAAGGTACAGAGATGTATTGAACCCATGGGTCCCATGTTTTGTCAAATTTAGTAGTATTGTTTAATCAAAAATGCAGCGCTAAAATTAATAAAGTGAAATATAGGTGACGATTGCGCACAATAGTGCGCTAGCAAGTGATACATCAGTGATGTCTTAATGAAGACCGCAAATAATTTATAAAGTGACAGCGATATCATATAAATGCATTATATGTCATATAATGTTCTCTGCCTGGCTACCCTACTTTCCTCTGAACTACCTACTATCATTCTCGGAGATTTTAACATCCCTTATAATGTCAACAACCCGGCTACATCCCAACTCTTCAACCTAACCTCATCTTTTACATTAGCACAATGTATACAGTCCTCCACTCACTCTGATGGGAATACATTAGACCTTGTTTTTCTCCCCGTCTTTGCACTCCCTACAACCTTACAAACACCCCCTTTCCTCTCTCTGATCACAATCTCATCACCTTCACAGTGTCCTCATCTTCAAACACCTATCCCTCCAAACGGCAAACAATTACCTGCAGAAACCTTCACAACTTGAACCCTGCTCCTTTTCCACTCTGCAACTGACCACCTCTATGACAAAATCTCTCCCCTGTCCTGCCCTGACCTGGCCACTGCTGTCTACACAATTCGCTTTCATCCGCACTAGACTCACTTGCTCCTCTAACAACACGAAGCATCAGGCCCCGACCGTTACAACCTTGGCAGACTGACGACATCAGAAATCTTAAATGACATAGTTGTGCGCTGGAGCGATTGTGGTGTAAAACCAAATCCCAGCAAGCATTCACCCTATATAAATCTGCTTTCTTAACATACAATTCCTCCCTTCATGTTGCCAAACAAGCCTACTTTGTCACTCTTATTAATACCTTGTCATCCAGTCCTCGTCGTCTCTTTACTTTTAACTCTCTACTTTCTCCACCTCCACCCAGTACCTCACTCACTGCTCACGAGATTGCAAATCATTTCACAAACAAGATTGACACAATTCGTAGGGGCATCGCCACTGCACAGACATCCATCCCACTTAGCATACCTTATACTAAACCTCCCTCAACACTTTCCTCTTTTGACCTTGCTACTACGAAGAGGTCACTAAGTTTTTCTCAGAAGCCCGTCTCACCACCTGGATCCTGTCCCCTCACAACTACTACGGTCACCCTCTTCTTCCATCCTATGCTCCCTCACTCACATCTTCAATCTTTCCCTCTCTATTGGTGCCTTCCCCTCCCCTCTAAAGCATGCGCACATCACTCCCATACTTAAAAAGCCCTCCCTGGACCCCACCAACATGAACAACTTAAGACCCATCTCCCTGCTGCCATTTACCTCTAAACTCCTAGAACGCTTAGTCTACAATCGCCTGAGCTCCCACATCACCGACAACAACCTTCTTGACCCTTTTACAGTCTGGTTTTCGCTCACTCCACTCCACTGAAACTGCACTACTAAAACTCACTAATGATCTACTAACCGCTAAAACCAATAGCCACTACTCTGTACTCTTACTACTTGACCTCTCTGCGGTTGACCATCCTCTCCTCCTCCTCAAAAAACTTCTCTCTCTTGGCCTCAGAGACTCTGCTCTCTCCTGGTTCTCCTCCTACCTATCGCAGCGCTCCTTCAGCGTTACCTATAACGGTGCCTCCTCCTCTAAACTCCGTCTTTCTGTAGGGGCCCCTCAAGGGTCTGTCCTTGGACCCCTCCTCTTCTCCATCTACACCTCCTCCCTTGGTCACTTGACAAACTCCCATGGCTTTAAGTACCATCTCTATGCTGATGACACACAAATCTATCTTTCTACCCCTCACTGCACTCCTTCAATCTCCTCCCGCATTACTAACCTACTAAGCGACATATCGGCATGGATGTCACTCTCAAACGCAATCTTTCCAAAACTGAACTCTTAGTATTTCCCCCAGCCCGTGCCACCTCTCCTGACTTCTCCTTCAAGATCAATAACACAATCAGCAGTCCCTCCCCTCATGCCAGGGTACTAAATGTAATCTTAGACTCCCATCTGTCCTTTCACCCCCAAATCCAATCACTGTCCAAATCTTGTAGACTTCACCTCTGCAATATCTTCAAGATATGGCCGTTCCTAACCTCGGAAACCACTAAGCAACTTATTCACTCCCTTGTTATATATCGCCTTGGCTATTGTAACTCCCTCCTCATTGGCCTACCTAATCGCAGGCTATCCCCTCTTCAGTCTATCATGAATGCTGTTGCCAGACTTATCCACCTTATTAACCATTCTGTATCTGCTACCCCTCTCGGGCAATGGGAAGCCAGTGGAGGGATTGGCAAACGGATGAAATTCAAAACATTAAAAATAACGTATAAAGCCATTTATAACTATGCCCCAAATTACATCAATGATCTTGTCTCTAAATATCACCCAAGCCGTACTCTCCGCTCCTCGCAAGACCTCCTGCTCTCTAGCTCCCTTGTCTCCTCCTCCCATGCTCATCATCAGGACTTTTCCAGAGCTTCTCCTATCCTCTGGAACTCTACCCCAATTTATCAGACTGTCGCCTACTCTGCTCACTTTTAGGCGATCTCTGAAAACCTCTCTCTTCAGGGAAGCCTATCCTGCCCTCCGCTAATAATGGAATCTTCTACTCTTCCAACTACTCTTCGCCCATCCCCCACAGTTACTACCTTTTGTACCACTAGCCCCTCCCTCCTAGATTGTAAGCTCCAAGGAGCAGGGCCCTCCTTTCCCTCTTGTATTGAACTGTGTTGTTGCTGTATTGTCTCCCGTTATATTGTAAAGCGCTGAGCAAACTCTTGGCGCTATATAAACCCTGTATAATAATAATGATAAAAAGATCAATAAAGGTCCTTAAAATCATTCAAAAGGTGCGTTAGCTTTCCCAAATAAGGAAGATTTCAAACAATCACGTTAAACTTCCATCATATAATCATAAGGTGCACGTGATTTCTGTGATAAGAAAGAAAGGGGTGTGCTTGCACTCACCAGACGTAAAATGATTTTACGCATGTAGTATAAGGGACACTAGTGGTCATCTGGAACCTGGTTAGAATGTGGCATTCCGATGGCGCTTGGTATACCCAGGGACATTACTCCAGACCTCTCAGTAGACCCTCTCCGATGGTGGAAACTGCTTGCAGGTTTTACTTACACCCGGCAATAGGTGAGTTCAGCAACAATAGGAGATCCATCTTAAGTAGCTCAAAAAAGCCACCAGGAACCAGGACAAAAAGCTGATATAGTGTAGTAGTTTATTCAGCCCAATGATGGTAATCACATATCGAAGTAACAGGTGTGTTAACAAACATGTAGCAGCAGGTGGCAACAGCTACAGTCAGTAAATGCAAATAGCATATACACACAAATGGTAGCAGATAGCAAATGGATATTTGTGTCAAATGTGATGGGTACATCTCATGCATAAAGAAAATTTTTTTTTTCCAAATTTCAAGATGGCTGCTGGCCAAACATGTGGCTCCAG